GCCGGCTGGGTCCTGCAGAGCCCCAGTGCCTGTTTTTCATCCACTGTGATGGCAGAAAATCTGCTGGAAATGGGTCTTAATTCAGGCTCTGCCTCTGGAGGTGTTCCTGGCTCCAGGAGGAATTTATGCTCTTTGCTTCCTCCTGACATGATTTAAATATCTCAGGTGGTACACGGGCAGGTTTCAGCCCTCGTGGTGCAGCTGCATGGCCTCAGCCTCCCGTGGGGATGTGCTGTCCTCGTGTTGGGGTGCAGGAGCTGGGATGGAGCCAGGAACCCCTGTCCATGCCTGGAATGTGCAGTTGCCACTGGGTGACAGCTGCAGCTCTGCTCTGGCTGCACCTGTGGGTGGGTGCTTCACAAAATGGGGTGCCAAGTCTGGGGGAGCAGAGTTTGTAGCTGCCACCTCAGTGTGGGCCTGGTTTTATTCCCTTGCTGGCCAGCGGCAGAGGATGGACCCTGGGCCAGACAGCAGCCATGAGACCGGGGCAGTCACCCAAAATGTGGAGCACACGAGTGCTTGGTCCTTGCTGCTTCTCCTGTCGCACTTGACCCTGTGCATGAACTCCATCTTTCAGTACATGAACTCTCTCTTTCAGTGCAAGAACCCCCTATTTTTCAGGGCTTCACAAACCCCATCCTTTGGCACATGAATCCCCCAGTTTCAGTGCATGGTTTTTGCCTCCACACATGCCTCTGGGAGATCTGATGCTTTTGCTTTGCCAGGATCCAGCCCAGAGCTGCTCCCTGACTGAGCTGTGTTGGCTCAGCAGCTCCAGGCAGCTTCACCTCAGGACACCTGAAGTCCTTTGCCACTGGTGCTGTTGCCATCCCAGAGTGAGACCCTCTGATCCCAACCAGCCATGGAAACTTGTAAATGCAGCTGGGCATAGCTGTGGTGCCCATTTGTCTGTCACTGCTGCTCCCTCCTTCCCTCAGCTTTTAACTCCAGAGGGAGTAATGAACTTGGGCAGAGATCAATGCTCTGCTCTGAGCCAGGCTTTATTCTGACATGCAGCAAATGCTGCAGCAGGTACAACTTTTTTTTTTTTTTTTAATTATTGATTAGTAAAGCAGGTATGAGGCAGCACAGCTCCCTGGCCAGGGAGCTGCCTTGCTGGAGGGGAATGGGAAGAATCCCCCCACTCTTTCTGGAGCCCTGCCAAGGGAAGGCTGAGGAAATACAGTCAGTATTTTCAAATCCAATTTAAAGCATCTCTTTGCAGCCAACATCTGTCATCTCATGGCAGAAAACACCTGAAATAATCTGATTTTTTTCTGTTTATCTAGAGAGCACATAATATCCTTTTGATTGCTCTGTTGCATGCAGATACTCTCGCGTGAGTGACGCCTGCTCTGTGCCTCCCCTGGTGCTGAGGCCAGGCTTTAGGACACAGATATGGCACCACCGGGCCCCTTGGTGAATTTTAGGCTTTTCAGAAGATGTCTAGGAATGGCACAGGTCCTGGTGCTGTGGTTGTGACCCGCTGTGAGGCGCAGCTCTGCAAGTGTTGGTGCTGTTGGTGGGTTTGACCTCAGGATTTATGCACCCAAAGGGACGTGGGGATCCGAGCGGTTCCATGAAATCCTGCTCGTGTCAGGAGCAGGGTGGCTGCTCCAGCTCTCTCTGGTGCCACCAGCCACACTCCAGCCGGGCTCTGAGGGTGCATGTGAGCTTGCAACACACGCCAGGGCAGGTTTTTCCTTTTGAGACGAGTCTTCACAGTCGAGGACAGCCATCAGGATACATCGAGGACGCGTGTCCTTGTTCCTCCTGTAACGTTTCAAAAACCCCTCCAAGTGCCCCCAGCTGGGCCCTGGCACTGAAGTGAGGCCGGAGCACCGG